TCGGGGTGGGGAGGGGGGTGGCTTCCTGCTGCTGCGCGTGCCCTCGGTGGAGGCATGGGGTGCATGTGCCCTCCCAGGTTTGTGTGTAAGGTGAAGGCAGGCCACCTACCACAGTACCTTCACCTACCACAGTACCTTCACCTACCACACCTACCTTCACCAGCCCACTGTGGTAGGTAGCACCTTCACCCCCCACAGTGGGCTGCCTGCTGTGGGCTTGGAGCCAGGGGCTGTGCTGGCCTCTTCCGGGCAGGGTGAGCGGCAACAGCACTGCGAGGGGTGGCTACAGGGTGGGTTATAGCCCCCCCCCCCAATTCCTTGTAGCCACACCTCCCAGTACAACCCCAGCCCAGCCCCCGTGCTGGGAAGAGGCCCTGAGCCTCCAGTGGGCCTCCACCGAGGGCGCGCACAGCAGCCTGCCTCCACCCCATGCACAAATCCGGGGGGCCCATGGCCCCCCATGCATTCCCCCAGGTGGTGTGCACAGAGAAGGGGAGCTGTCCCCTTCCCCCCCCCCTCCCCTTGCACCCTCCTGGATGAGCTGCACGCAGGTCCTGGTCCCAGGGTCGCATTCACTGCCCTGGCTGGGCAACTCCTGTCCCTGCCCCACTCCCTCCCTCACCGTGAGGGCCTTGATCTGCTCCCCCCCCAACACCCCACAGTCTTCCTGGCCGGAAGCTGCTCTCCAAGCTGCCAGGCTGCATTCCTGGTCACATGCATGCTGTGGCTACACACATGCATGTGGCATTTATCAGTGACATTATCAGCTACACCCGCCCAAAAAAGCCGATTGCCGATAATGTTAATTTTCCTTTTATCGGTGCCTATCCAATATGTGACCGATATATCGGTGCATTTCTACTAATCCCCATTTTAGAGAAGAGGACAGTGAAACTAAGTGACTTGCCCCATGTCACGTGGGAAATCTGTGGCCTAGCCAAAAGGTGAGCTAAGGTCTTCTGAGTTTCCGTTCGGTGCCTTTTACCACCGGAGCATCCTTCCCCCTCCGAGCGGAGAGGAATCGGGTTACAGCCAGCAGCCACAGGAGGACAGCTGTAAAGAATGAATGCGACTCAAGTCGTTCTATTTGGATTCCTCCATAATCGGGGAGAAAAACCAAGGATAGTCTGCAGTTGTTCTTGGCAGGGAAGCCAATATGCCACACACTTGTGGTCGATGGTAAAGCCGATACCTTCCTCTGAAATAGAACAAAAGCAAGAAAGTATATATACACTTGACACAGCAAAGCGGTTAAACGCCGCCAACGTAATACAGCCCCTGAGAAATGTTACACTGCATTACAGATACAGAGGAAGGCAAAGAGCAGACTTCCCTCTGCATATTGGTTTTGGCCCAGCTCCCCAGTGTTTGTTTTCATAGATGGCTTGACTGTATATGTATATATTTGTTTCAGAGTCCTACCACACATAAGCCAGGTCCTTATTCCTTCGCCACAGCTGATAAATGTGAATAAAACTGTGTTTGCCTAGCATGATAGCATCCGTCCCTCAGGGACTGCATGTGGTTACAGCTTCACAGCCTCCAGACAAATGCTGTCCTGCAGCCAAAGGCTCAGTGCTGGTGTGAGCTTGCCAAGGGGGGGAGGTGGGAGGAGAGGCCTTTCTCCGGCAATCAGAGAAAAGGTAATGTCCAAACCTTCTCAGCTGTGCTAAGACCTTCAGCACAGATTTCCTACAAACCAGAAAGGTGGGGATGGAGAGAAAGCATCCCATTTCCTTGGACAAATCCTCTTCCCAGTTTAAATTCAGAGTTAATTCCATTTATTTTTCTGGGCTGGGTTTAGGCAGGGTGAAATGAATTGTCTATAAGTTAATGAAAATTGACTTAGGATGCAGGCACGCCACACGCTCACTCAGATGGCATTTACACTGGGTTCTGCTCCATGTCAAATTTACTCTCTAGTGAAGTGCAGAAAAGTTCGTTCATTTAAAAGTTCTTCAGAAAAGTGCAGCTATACAATCAACCCCCCCCCCCCCCCCCCCCCCCAGCCGCCTGAAGGTTGGCACAACTGCAGTGCTAGTTCACCAGGTCTAGTCCTCTAGTTCAGCATTTCTCAACACATGGGTCGTGACCAACAGTGGGGTCGCAAGAATATACGAAAGGGTCACAAACAAGCTTTAAAAATGAATTCTCCTTTAAAGGAGAAATACATGGGGAAACTGTGGCTTTTCCCTTGCAGGCTGGCAGAGATCTAGCTTGCAAGGGGCTGCTTGGGGCTCCCTGTGCCCTACACATAACCAACCCTGCCCCACACAGGTGCCCCCTGCCCCTCACCATCAGCCCAGGCTGGAGCAGATAAGGACTCTCTGCTCTTCTTCTGTACACGGAAAGTTTTGCTTGGTGACCCTGGATTCCCCTGTGCACGCCTGCTGCTGTCCTGGTCCAGGCGGCCGTGTTGGGTGCCAGGACTGCTCTCTCGCCTGGGCACATCCCTCTTGCTGAGAGTATCGTGGGAACGTCCATGCAACACAGAAAGCAAACCTAAGTTTCCTGAGCCCAACTCC